GTGGGGGGGGGGGTGCGTGTGTGGTGTGTGGCTCAGGGGTGTGGGCGGCGCCGCGGGGACTTAGTCACACACTGAGGGAAAGGTTGGGCAGCGGCAGCGAGATGCTGGCCTCTCCACCCCCAGCCTGCCGCATGCCGCCGGCGCCGGAGCTGCTGCCCTGCCACCCCAGGGCGCACCAGATGGCGTCCCGCCGCTCATCATCCAGCTCCTTCTCGCTGTCGGGAAGCAGGCGCTCCGCCGCCTCGGGCAGCTCCGGCAGGTCGGCGGCCGAGGCCACAAGCAGCGCCAGCGGCAGGCCCGCCGCCCAGGCGGCGCCCAGGGCGGGCATGATGGTGCCGCCGCCCGGCACCGGCAGCTGCAGCAGCACCAGGAACAGCGCCGCCACCAGCGCCGTGACCAGGATGATGACCTGCATGTGTGTGTGGGGGTGGGACAAGGGTGGGGGAGGGTGGGGTGAGGTATGCGGCGTTAAGGGGCCCTCCGCCAGATCAGTTTGGAAGGAGCAGGGGCCGCCTTGCCACCCGCTGCCCCTCATCATCGTCCCACCCACGCCCCCACCACCTCCACCACCCCAAACCCCACCCGCCGCACCTGCAGCATGGGCAGCCCCGGGAAGAACTCCAGCGCCAGGTAGGCGGCCGCCAGGCTGGCGCTGCCCGCCGCCTGCCCCGCGCGCAGCAGCGGGCCGACCGCGCCGCCGCTGGCGCCCGGCTGCGTCATGGCGCTCAGGCCCAGGAAGGCGGAGCCCAGCATCAGCCACAGCGGCCAGTGCGTGCGGCGGCGCAGGCCGTCGCCTGCAGGCAGGCCGAGCGGCAGCAGGGGGGAAGCAGCAGCATGATGTCAGGATTCAATGGGCAGACTCGAGGCATGTGAACGCGGGTATGCCACCCAGCGCGGCGTGCCCCGGCCAGCAGGGCCGCCGCCTGGCTTTCCCTGCTGGCAAGCAGCCCTCTGCCAAGCCTGCCAGCCGCCCCCGGCCCCTCACCCCACACCGCCACGTCATCGAGCTCATGGTCCGGCACGTGCCCCGCATCCCACAGCCGCGGGCACAGCCCCAGCGGCAGCCCCGGCGGGCACTCCGCGCCGCCGCGGATGGGCAGCGGCGGCCGCAGCAGCACCAGCAGCGCCGCCAGGGCCGTGGCCAGCAGCAGGGTGCGCTTGGCGCCCTGGGAGTGCGGGTAGTAGCGCTGCACCAGCGGCAGGCAGCCCAGGGCCATGCACAGCACCAGCAGGCCCGCCACCAGCGCCTCTGCAGGAGACGAGGGAGGCAAGGGGGGGGCAGCCGGTGGGGCGGCTGTCGACGGTCGGGAGGGGCGGGAGCAAGCCAGGGGCGCAGCTGCAGCGCGCGTGTGGGCTGGGCTGGCCGCCATCGCTACCCACAGGACAGGCACCAGCTTGCAAGATCACGCCGCCACGTGCTCCCCACGCACCTGAGGGCCGTCTGTCGAGCACAAAGCGCGCGATGTCAAAGACGGCAAAGCGGGCGGCCACGACGGCCAGCACGACCGCCGCCGCCAGGCCCACGCCCTGCCAGGGCTTGAGGCGGCGCCGCCGCTCGCGCCCCGGGTGGTCCAGCTCCACCCGCCGGTCGGCGCCCACGCGGTGCAGCAGCAGGGGCGGGGAGGCGGCCAGCAGCAGGCCCAGCACCGGCACCGTGAGCCGCGCCTCGGGCAGCAGCAGCATGGACAGCTTGGCCGCGTAGGCACACTGCAGCACGTAGGACGCCACGTCGCCAATGGCGGAGGCCGACTGCAGGTGCCGCGCCGCCGCTAGGCCCAGCGCTGCACGTGGAGGGGGCGAGGCAGGCACCCTGAGCACGTGGTTGCCCTCCTGCCCAGGAGCGCCCTGCGCGACGCGGCCTCCCCAAACCGCCCGCCCCGCCTGCACTTTGCCACCCTTCCCCGTTCAACACCGCCCTGCCAACACCACCACCTGCACGCCACACACAGGCACCACGCCCCCACCACCACCACGCCCCACCCCGCCGCCGCCGCCGCCGCCTCCGCTCACCCGAGGTGGCCATGACCAGCCATGGCGGGTACATGGCGTGCAGGTTGTAGGTCACCTCCTGGTGGTCCCCCGCATACAGCCGCTCCTCCAGCCAGCACACCAGCGCCGCCTGCGCCAGCAGCACCGCGCCCAGCGCGCCCTTGGGCGCGTCTGCGGGGGCAGGCAGGCAGGCAGGCAGGGGCATGCATGTGTGTGAGGAAGGAGAAGGGACGCGAGGGCAGGGTCGCGGCTGCCGGGCGGCACGCTGCGGCGGCGCCTGCGCGACAGGCTGGCAGCTGCACCGTATGCCTGCGGCGGCAATGCGAGGTGCGCGGCGCAGGGCAACGCCGCGCCCCCCGCGCTGCTGCCGCACCCGAGTAGAGCAGGCCTGGGGCGAGGGCTGCGGGCGCCATGGCCGCCACCACCAGCCCGCACAGCAGCTTGAGGTGCACCCCCTCCAGCTCAATGTCCAGGAACCAAAAGTGGTGCCACACAAACCAGCCGCCTGCAAAGCACGCAAGAGGGCAGCGTGGGGGTGCGGGCAGCGGCGTCGGGACGGCGTGTGCACAGCGCTGCACGGCCACAGGGCCACATGCACACGCTGGCACACCCACCCACACAGGCAGGCACCCTCCTGCTCCCACCCTCCCCAAGCGCTGCAGCAGGCCGGCCCAGGCCCTACTTGCCCGCCCGCCCGCCCACCTGTGGCCAGCGCCCCCGCCACAAACAGCAGGTAGTCCCGTAGCGCCGCTGTGTCATAAAACATGGCCAGGCCCGAGGCGGCCAGCAGCGGCGCGGGCAGCATCCAAAGCGGGAGGCCCGCCGCCAGGGCGCCCACCGCCGCGCTCAGCATGAGCAGCGGCCCCACCAGCATCCCCTCCACATCCCCGCCCAGGCTGCCGCTGCAGTGCAGCAGCACCAGCGCCGCCACGCCGTACATGCAGGCTGCAGGGCACGTGAGGCGGGGGGGTGGGGGA